CATCCTTATTTACATCGATTGCTCGAAATTCACAAGTAAAATATTTCTGTACGATATATTTCACAAATGTGTTGACCGACTACACAAATTCTACCTAAATTGCCAACGAAGTTTTAGAGATTCTATCCGAGGTGTTTACGTGAGTTTTTTCCGAGGGATACTTTTTAATTGGTCATTTATTTACGTGATATCAATATCAGTGGATATGTGAATGAAATCTCATTTATTTGTGAAAGAAAGTAAGACACGCATTATTTATTAGATAAGGTTAACACTCTTCAAATTCACATCCGTCTTTTATATTGAGAGAGGTATGGCTAGTTTTCTCTCTTGAACATACTAATAAGTAGAACAGAAAATGCTTCAAACAAACGATCCATTCTTAGAAAGCCAACTTTGACAGACAAGTAATTTAATTATAACAGTCATTACGCAGGCCACGACAAACAGTATTTGCTGAAGGACCTATTTAACGGGATTAATTTTACTTTCACAAACGACGCCACTCATAACGAAGTAAGGTTCTTGAACAAAATATTAATGGGAAATGGTCATCCTCCAAAATACGTTAATATATGGAAACGTCATAGTGTAGTGAGACTCACTATATTCTTGGCACAAAAATGTCTATCAATATGATTTTACCTCACAGACCTTAGTCAAATAGTTTTATATTGAAACGCAGGCTCAAATAGGTTATTAAATGTTAGGGACGATAGATCCCTAAAACTTATAGTTTGTAATCTTATCTTTGTGGAGCTTGTATGCAAATGCATGCTTGGTCATCTCTTACCACTCAAGCACATAGTCGATGGACGAACTTATCGATTAAATATTTAAAACCTTCTATGACAATATCGATTACATATATTTGTATATATACGTTTTAAATTGTGTTTGTTGGATCACTCGTTTCTGGCTGTTTGCGGAATATACTTCCCATCCCAAGTTTGGACTTCTCCCTCTAGTTAGCGGGCCTGGGACGTATCAATAGCTAGCTTGCTGGTCTTTGGTCACCGAGTCTTGTTTCGCGTTCTCAGATTAAGTGAATTCGTGACAGCTTCAAACCTAATATTAACAAACGTGCTACGCAGCAAAGATCGATGCTTTAACAAAAATCTAAAACGCACGAAAATGATCGAATCACATCAGACTGTTTGCCGATGAAAGTGTCTACGTTTCCACACATACGTAGTTAGGAGCGATGGTGATCTCCGAGTCAGACTGTCTAAACGTGTACCTAAATGGTTGCAAAAACAAATAATATCAAATGATTAAATTACATTGGATGACAAACATCTATCGTCCCCTATTGACAAACATATAGTCGAAACATGTCACAAGTATGAACTTAACGTAGCTCTTGAGGCGTTTCATAGAATGTTAAATAGCGTGTATTATGGCTTATTGAAGCCTTTGACATACACAAGTTTGACCCCCTGCATGTGCTCAAAAACAGTCTGTTCCCATCCCAAGCCTATCTTGGTAATGCTAGCTTACTTTTCGGAGTGGTGGTGTAGCTAACTAAGAACTAGTGAGAGCGTTCTTTCATCGTTTCAACAGTGTGAAAGTAGTAGCTAATACGATTTAGGAGATCCACACTGTCCTCTGAAAAAGAATTAAACGTTAATGAAGATAAACGCAAGGACACTTAAACATGGCCACACGGCTCAGCTAAAGGCTCACTGTGTGAATGTCATATGATAAAGAATGTTTAATGGTCCGTTGATCTAATCTGTTTCGGATAAACGACTGAATGTACTATGAATATAAATCTGTTTAAAGTCGTATACAACACCTAGGACAGCCATATTTGGGCGACGGAGGTAATAAGAGGCCAAGATTAAACTTAAACTGGACGAGCTTATTTCAATCTTTCGTTGAAGATGAGAAGCGGGTGAATGGAATGTAGCGGAGAGGGAAAGCCTGCCAACTGAACTTAACAAGGTATGATCCATTATATACAGCCAGACACAAATTAGCTAGGGAAATATGTTGAATGAAGTGACATATAAATACTTTCAATTAAAAATGGGCAGGGTTGTGAGTGAATAGTTGACAAGGTTAGGGTCTCACTCTAAAAAAAACAAATTGATTGGTCTATGTGGAGGCTAGAATAACCTACCTGGGCGTGACAGTACTTAATTGACTAATTACGGCTGTTTTCCCACGTGTGGGAGCATTCTCCGTCAAACTCTAAAATGACAAATTTCTTTCAGTTATATTTAATTGCTATTCATCATTTTGATGTCAGATACAAATTGCCGACGCAGTCTGTTCCTTGAACGTCCTCTTGCCCATAAGTGTTATGCAGTAAAAAACACATATGGAATTCGTGCACTAGATTAGAAACATGTCTGTCTTTGAAATGACACTAAATTGTGTACGGAAACGTCGGTTTGATTTTCAAGGATACATGTCAGTAAAAGACGACAGAAATCAGAAACGTAAAGGAGGTGTAGCTCGATTCATCAGAAGTGCTATCCCATTTATCGTTATTGATAAATTATCCCATGAGAGTGGGACGTGTGAAATAATACGTTGTCGCTTTAAATACAAAGGACAAGATCTGCTGGTCGGTTTGGACTACCGCCGTTCAAGCTGTGGAGTGAATAGGGTCTTGCTAGACGGTTTCAATAATTGGTCACAACGTGATCGACGTCAAATCCTAAGAGACTTTGATGCACCTACGGTAGACTGGAAAAATCTGAGAACTAAATTGTCAGATAATTCCCTCGAACAGGAACTAGCTGATGCAGTTATCACATGTACCCTAGTGCGACATTTGGGAGAAGAGACTACGTACGACCCGGACTCTGAATTATCCTCACTAGTTCTTACATTGACTTATTATCAGGTGATGACACAAACTCCGACCACATGCCACGCTTAGGTAAAAGTGTTCATGAAGTTGCGATCTTTAACTTTCATTTGGTTGTCAAAATTGCGCACGCAACAGCCCAACCCAAATCTAACATCTGTAAAGCAAGTATTGAAGATAATATGCACTCAGAATCCACAGCAGATTTTTCAGTAGAGTAGGAGTCTACAATTGAAACAGCTTTGGATATATTTCGATATCTGTACATAAAACTAACTACACCCCACATTCGTTTAGACTATACTAAGGGGTTCGGCAAATTTCAAAACATGATTCAACATAAAATGTGACGGAAAGAGAACAATGAAAATTCCTCTGCAGCTTCTTTGTTGAACAGTATTGTCATTTATTTGTTCCTTCTCCCTGTTGTGTATTTAACCTTTGTTCCGATCTCGTTTAACCAAATCTTTTGTTCTTCAGTCCTCCTCGTTTGAGCCCTTATCATGTGGTTTTGATTAAAAACTTATAGCAATAGACAAACGTTTGCTCATTAACAGAGGAAATCACCATTATGTAGTTTTCAGCAGCGTGTGATGGAGTGTACGCCGAATGACCAAGCATAAATGCATGGAGTAAGATAAAGTTATATCAAGAAGTGTATATAATGGTATAGAGCAACTTATGTTATTTACTAATACTAATACATATTTAGTGATAAAGAGAATAGGTAAATAAATGCGAGAAGTGACTAAAGGTTGAAATAAATGGATTCTTTAAGGAATATTACATAACCAAACAGATATAAAGCCTTTGGTAGATACTTCATGTATCCTTAACTAATATTTCATAATTTTGGTGGGAAATATATCAGATGTTTTAAGATCCAAAACGGTGCGATGCATAGTAGGAGCTAGCAAAGATTCTCCGCTCATTTCAATAATAAATTTTTCTTCAATAAAATATAGCTGTACATAACTTGTGATTGTCTTTATTCTGAGTTCTTCAATAATGGTTAAAGTGATTTTTTCTTGTGAATGTTCTAGTTTTCACATACTTGTTTAAGTGATATGCAACGAAAAATTCTGGCTTATTTAATGAATTATAAGATATTTTGATTTAATGGAAGTCAACGTTTTTAGTCGAAATGAAGCAAATCTCTATTTGTCTTCTGCGTGTTCTAGGTCGATATGTGGATCTCCCGATAGACCAATGCCTGGAAATTCAGTCGAGGAGAGCGCTATTTCCATCAGGTCTATGAAGTTGAACAAAATTAGAGATAGTGGACAGCCTAGACGGATACCACTTAAGGTTTCAATCCTCAAGAGACAACAGTTATTAAACAGAATCGCCTAATATTTTCAATTTGTAGAGGCAAGGATCACATGTATAGAGCAAAGCTGCCCTCGACGACGCGTTGCAGACTCAACCTTATACACCCAAACTAACGTAACCGTGCCAAAGATATGGCCCAGTTTGGCGTAAGCCACCGTAGCTTTCACAGTACATAATTTTTTCTCATCATACGCAACAACTGGTACTTACGCAGCTACCCAAATACGCTAACGGCGCAACTACATATGTTGTTATCAAGAGTTAGCGCAGATTTAAAGATCATTTTAGTCTTGTTAAAGTACTTTTTACTTGGACTGTTCCGAGCCTATCCCATACTTACAGATACGAGCTAAGGGGGAAGGCTGGATATCTTGTGTCATGAAACCGTACGATTGTTACCCCGTAAAAAGTATGTTTTTAACAATGACTAAGAATGACAATAAAATCAATACATATCTGACCATGACGAAAGCCAACCCGCTCTTCACGCGTTGATCTTTCTAGAGCCTTTGACCAAAGAATCTAATCCACACGGGAGTGAAGCGCCGTCATAATATACAGTTCTATGGTACCTGGTGACCAACAATATATCGAAGAATAGCTTAAAATTTTGTATGAGTTGATCTGCTCATGGTGCACAGCGGCAATTGGAGTTCCACTCAGCGCGGATTAAGCAAAAATACCGGTATTTCGGTGAAATAGGGATGCCGAACTTAGAAATACAGTTCATGAAACTTGATAAGTAGTATCCACGAACAAATTTAAACCATTTAGCTTATTTTAATATATATTGAAATCACCATATGGATACTGAAAAACCCTGGGTTTCGTTTAAAAACGCTCACATCCTACAAAAGTTTATTTCCAAAGAAATTTATTTTGCTTTTTTAACTTTTAGTTTCTTTGAATAAAACTCCAACTCTTTGCCTTCGAGAATATAACCATCTGCTCGGCCGATTTGACCAGGTCTAGAGGATATACAAGCTAAGCAGTGATAAGGTTATCTCGATGACTTACCTAACAGACGACCCGTAACAAATGCTTCTTTTAAAGGTTCTTCTACGTTTGCTTGAGGCAAAGCCTGACGAGTTTCATACTTTTTCAAGGCTGACTTGCTTCGTTTCTTCAACAAAATATCTTCCTCCGGGTTTTCCTGTGTAATTGTGTGTCCTTTTTTACTAACGACTTTACGGCGACCAAGTTCTTTTAAATAGTGAGCTTCAAACCATTGTCTGAATGGGGCTCCGTCGATCTGAACTATTGCTCTCTTGACAAGAGTTTTTGTTCGGACAAGTTCATTACTAGAAGCATTATAGACAACATCAATTATTTTAGTTTTCCGTGAGATAGCTTGAGAGGGCCAGCTGAAATTCCCTTGATCCAAACGCATTGCACGGAGCTTTATATTTCCACCTCGGACACGGACTGTATGGACACGTTTGGCTCCAAGCTTTGTCATTGCTGCTGGACGTCCTAACTCGAACTTCCTCTTTTTGCGATTTCGCTCTCTACGAGCTCCAGTTTTAGCCCTTTTATGAATGCGATCTCGAGCAATACCTTCAAGAGAAATTAGTACATCCAATAAGGTTTTAATTAATGAGAAAACAGGTCACTAGCCGTCAGATGACATGATTACCCTGAGACCGCAACGTGACACATTTTGCAAATAAAAACTTTAGTTTGTTAATACATACATTCTAAAACGTTCTGAGCATTTTTTGTGCCTGATATCACTGTAGTGTTCATGAACAGTAGTGAGAAACCGGTGGTTTATCTTGACTGCTATAGTAGTCGAGGGAAGCAACCATATCCCGATCTAATAGTACAATTACGAATATGGCTTCATTGACTAAACTGTTAGTCGAACGTTACATAGATAACATGACGGGTAGGTTGAGAGGGATCGTACAATTATAGTTGTTAGAACCACATGGCATTAGAATATTCTGGTGCAGAAATATTTGATTGAATAGAAAATACTTATTCTAGCTACAGCTTGGAGTTTACATACAAATCTGAGTTTTATCCTGCGAACTTGCCAAAATTTAATTCAAAAAATTTACGTAGATGCCCGTCACTAAGCAAAGCAGTGGTGCGTCAGAAACTATAGCACAGCCGAATGCAAGTAGCCTGGTGAGTGCAACTACTGGTGCTTCCGGAAAACAATACACATGCTAGATGAACACCAGCCAAAATAATAAGCAACTTTTAATTGAGGAGGATGTGCCGGGTCTTAATTGTGATATCGATCTGAAGCACGCCTTTGGCTTTTACTTTAAGCAAACGGAGGGTTCTGAATATCACAGAGCGAGAACTCACTACACATCATGGTTCTTTTTATGCATCCTCATGTCGGGATGAGGAATGGAACTTAAGGTACGAGACAGACGGTTTAAATACTTCCGTTCATAAGTAGTTTATGTAACCCAAACATAGATGGAAAGCTCATTCAAAAGTCAGAACATTCGACGAGGTATCAAACCCACCCATGCTGCAGACGATCTAATGATACCGCCAAGTTGTGTGCACAGCAGCCAGCAAATCAAAACAAATTCGGTAAATTTCAATAAACAATCATAGTACCCTAAGCATACATACATCACAGTATCTGAGCGGTATGTTTGAAAACGATAGCCTGCAGATTCCCAGAATTTTTCTGACAAACGTTTACACAATGGGGTGTTTTTAAGCTAAGAGATATCAGTAGTGAAAGTCATGTGCTTATGTGTTTGAACGATTTCACAGTTGGGATTCAACAAAGAGTTGGGGCGATATCTAACTTGTTTGGCTAAAAGGTTGTGCTAAACGGAATGCGCCAAGAAGTAGTTCTTGAATCAGTATTATTCCTCCTGAAATTTAATAGACTTCCTAGTCTTCCATTATCGTTGTGTATATTATTATTAATGGTTTTAATCTTAGCTTTGTTGTTGTTATATACCTGTAATATCAAGATATGGAGATTGATTATAAGTAAATGTGATGGTTTAGGTCTCATAGGCAACCATCGGAAGGTACCCAAATGATTTAGATTTTGGTAGTTAGTAATAAATGCTTCCATGTGCATTATGACGAACATTGGTCTACAAAGCATGGACAAATATGCAGTGAATAATATTGGGCTGTCTGTTATTCAAACACAGATTGTTTTTAACTGAGGCCTAAAAACTACTACACTCTGTCAAATGTGAAAAAAAGTACAAATGAGTGGTAACTGCTAGAAGTAATTATGGACTACCATTACATATATTTTTATGGGATAATTATTAAGCAACTAGATTATAGACATTAACGAAAATGTGTCCGTATATATATTCTTTTTATCATGAGCTTTCATTCCGTTTATTGTTTAATGCAACACAGTTAAGCATTGTTAAGGTATTCCCAGTTTATAAGTTACAGTTTTCCACAATCATGGCCACATTTGACTTGGTCTTGTATAATTGTTTCTTTCCATTTTACGGTAAGATGCGTTCGGGTCTGCCTGTATATAAACAAAGCATATCTGAAATATACGATCCGCACAACAGAGACTAATATTATGTTCTGGACTGAACGGAGGGGCTAAGAGAGTTGTTATATAGATGGCGAATATGGACTCAGACTCGACTCAAGGCTGCTAGTGTTGTTTGACGTATCATTGGTTCAGCACATGGACGAAGTCATAGAAATTGATATTGTAATTGACGATTTTGTCACGTAATATTTGACAGGCCGTAGAATACAACATACTATGCCACCAGACAACTGCTAAAGGCCTTAGAGTACTCTGATCAACACGTATGGCATCTAGCCATATCTGAGTTAAGTCCCTCTTGGCTTTATTTGTATCATTTGTTTGTTCTAAACTCGAGCTGTAACCCTTTGTCTAAAAAGAAGACAATGAAATGTCAAAAAGGTTTAAATAACCGCACATAAATTGATTCCCGGAATTTTGAAATGTTGTACGACAATAGATTGGATAAACTTAACCTATTCCCCTTGTCAGATCAGAAGCAGTTTGATCGCAATTTTTAATTACCTACGCGTGTTACTCCTTGTGAAGACATAGGCCGCCGACCAGAAATTTGTAATCAACTCTGTGCTGAGATTTATATTACGGTTTTTTCCAGCTGCCATTCACTCTTTTGATATCTGCTTCCAATTTTCGATGCTGTGTTTTCGTTGATCTTTCCTTTTTCCATTAGGATCCTAAGCAAGCGCTTGACTCAAGAAGCAATTTGATTATTTCCTCATTGTATGCCCTATCCACTTTCACTAATTTTCCTGATTTTCTTTCCTGCTGGAAGGTGGTTGGTCCTTTCTAATAGTAGGTTATGGTTGATGGTACATGACCACCAGATTTTGGATACCTTGAACAGATAATTGTTTACAGTTACCTGTAAGCACTTTTAAAAAGCAAGTTTGCTGCCAGTGGGACGACATTGATGACTTCATCTCCAACACTTCTCAGTTCTAGTTTTTAACAGGCAACAACTCTAGAAGAGCTACAGGCAGAGTTATTCGATAATACGCTCACATCTGACATGGCTTGATGTTTATCCCCTTCCAGAACGGAATTTAAAAGGATACTGAAATAAACCACAAGTCCAGATCAGGTAACTTGTGAGCTGACTGTTGAATGAAGCTTATTATATCAACATGTGACTGACGTTCCATCTGCCAATGCATTCAAAAAACCGAATCAAGCAGACCACAATCTCCACGACAATCGCAGGCTACCCAGCCTCCAGTAATTTTGAGGCTGAAACTGATATGAGTGTTCATTTGTTTAATATTCTTTCATAAATAAGTCCCATTGTGAATTGAAAAGATGAAAACATGTTCTCCTCTAGTGTGGAGTCTATTCCTTGCTCCTCGACTGTCTTTCATGTGCTGCTTGAGATTTATTGGGAACTTTGTAAAAAAGACATTGCATTGATTGCAAATTTACTTATCAGTATCCCATCTTATTCAAAGTTGGAATTTCACTGACCACATATATAAAGATCCTTTTAACTTTATCCATTATATATTATTGCATCATACACTAACAATGAGCCTATCGACACATTGCAGCGCACAATGCTTAGGCTGACAGGAATAAATAGTATGTAGCAGCAGTCGGATATTCCACGTCTGTCAGCAAAAGACTGATAATACCGGATTGAAGAGAACAGGAGGGGAAACAGGGAAATTTTATTAACAACAGGATTGAAAGGATCGTGAAGCATGCCAAGGGCAACTGAATTAACGTTCGAAAACAAAGTATTTAATTGGTGGCTTTCATATTTTTTTTTGAAGGCATCCTTTAATTTTGGTTTTAATCACCTGAGTTCTCGTTCACACCAAAAATACTGAGCCGTCAACGAATTGTCAGGTCGATTAAATAGAAGAATATCTTTGAATAATGATTACTGAACACAGAAAAGAATGCATAAATTAATCAGGGCCATATCTGGTCAACATGAATTTCCGTGCGGGAACATGGTATTGGCGACTGAGATTGTGTGGTCTTGAACCAATCAAAGGCTAATAATTTAGGTTCAGGATTATGGAAATTGTGCGCAATGCCTATCATACTCAGCATATTAACCTCTCAGCATTCTCGATCAGTAAACGAACTTCAAACAAACCCTGATATCATCTTGTTGACGCTCGGTAAAGTATCAGAAGTGGTCTTCATGAACAAGTTTGAGTATAAAAGTAGGATGTTATCTACCATCATGAATGAAAGTAAACATTTCCCTGACGTCGAATTCGAAGGTGTTAGCATACTGGAAGGAAGTGTAAACTCGCATCTAGTGAAAGTTTTATACAAAAATACCATCGATAAAAAGGTATTAAATTTTCTAAAAATAGTGGATTTTGAACATCCTTATTTACATCGATTGCTCGAAATTCACAAGTAAAATATTTCTGTACGATATATTTCACAAATGTGTTGACCGACTACACAAATTCTACCTAAATTGCCAACGAAGTTTTAGAGATTCTATCCGAGGTGTTTACGTGAGTTTTTTCCGAGGGATACTTTTTAATTGGTCATTTATTTACGTGATATCAATATCAGTGGATATGTGAATGAAATCTCATTTATTTGTGAAAGAAAGTAAGACACGCATTATTTATTAGATAAGGTTAACACTCTTCAAATTCACATCCGTCTTTTATATTGAGAGAGGTATGGCTAGTTTTCTCTCTTGAACATACTAATAAGTAGAACAGAAAATGCTTCAAACAAACGATCCATTCTTAGAAAGCCAACTTTGACAGACAAGTAATTTAATTATAACAGTCATTACGCAGGCCACGACAAACAGTATTTGCTGAAGGACCTATTTAACGGGATTAATTTTACTTTCACAAACGACGCCACTCATAACGAAGTAAGGTTCTTGAACAAAATATTAATGGGAAATGGTCATCCTCCAAAATACGTTAATATATGGAAACGTCATAGTGTAGTGAGACTCACTATATTCTTGGCACAAAAATGTCTATCAATATGATTTTACCTCACAGACTTTAGTCAAATAGTTTTATATTGAAACGCAGGCTCAAATAGGTTATTAAATGTTAGGGACGATAGATCCCTAAAACTTATAGTTTGTAATCTTATCTTTGTGGAGCTTGTATGCAAATGCATGCTTGGTCATCTCTTACCACTCAAGCACATAGTCGATGGACGAACTTATCGATTAAATATTTAAAACCTTCTATGACAATATCGATTACATATATTTGTATATATACGTTTTAAATTGTGTTTGTTGGATCACTCGTTTCTGGCTGTTTGCGGAATATACTTCCCATCCCAAGTTTGGACTTCTCCCTCTAGTTAGCGGGCCTGGGACGTATCAATAGCTAGCTTGCTGGTCTTTGGTCACCGAGTCTTGTTTCGCGTTCTCAGATTAAGTGAATTCGTGACAGCTTCAAACCTAATATTAACAAACGTGCTACGCAGCAAAGATCGATGCTTTAACAAAAATCTAAAACGCACGAAAATGATCGAATCACATCAGACTGTTTGCCGATGAAAGTGTCTACGTTTCCACACATACGTAGTTAGGAGCGATGGTGATCTCCGAGTCAGACTGTCTAAACGTGTACCTAAATGGTTGCAAAAACAAATAATATCAAATGATTAAATTACATTGGATGACAAACATCTATCGTCCCCTATTGACAAACATATAGTCGAAACATGTCACAAGTATGAACTTAACGTAGCTCTTGAGGCGTTTCATAGAATGTTAAATAGCGTGTATTATGGCTTATTGAAGCCTTTGACATACACAAGTTTGACCCCCTGCATGTGCTCAAAAACAGTCTGTTCCCATCCCAAGCCTATCTTGGTAATGCTAGCTTACTTTTCGGAGTGGTGGTGTAGCTAACTAAGAACTAGTGAGAGCGTTCTTTCATCGTTTCAACAGTGTGAAAGTAGTAGCTAATACGATTTAGGAGATCCACACTGTCCTCTGAAAAAGAATTAAACGTTAATGAAGATAAACGCAAGGACACTTAAACATGGCCACACGGCTCAGCTAAAGGCTCACTGTGTGAATGTCATATG